GTAGTAGGCTGTACCATATAGCCTAGCTGTGTAGTAGGCTACACCATATAGCCTAGCTGTGTAGTAGGCTATACCATATAGCCTAGCTGTGTAGTAGGCTACACCATATAGCCTAGTTGTGTAGTAGGCTATACCATCTAGGTTTGTGTAAGTAGTGTTTGACCTTCTCACTATGGCAAAATCACCTAACGAGGCATTTCTCAGAACGTATCCCTGTTAAGTGACACATACCTGTATTGATTGTGGTAAATGAAACTACATTGATATACTATTTCTATTTTATATAGGCGGTATATTTATCATATCATCCCTGCTTTTACTACTACTATATGTTTTTTTTATGTTTTTTTGCATTATTTGGTATTATTTGGTAGGAAATTCTTTGGGTCTGGGAGCAGTCAAAGAAATGTCCCATATAAACTAATGGTAATTGCTTCTGTTTTACGTCATTCCAGTTCACAAAAGGTTTCATAGGAATGCTTTACTCTGATAAAGTGGGGGATACCTGTATACAGTGGCTTAGGAAGCTGTGTCTGTGATTAGAAGGTTGGCAGTTCAAATCCCAGGGTCTGCAGAGTGATTTCACTGTGGAGCGGTTGAACAACGGCCTTAACCTCCAAATGCTCTGGTGACAGTGTCCCAGTCTTCTCAATTGTACAGGTACGGCCAAAAGTTTTGTCAGTGACACAAATTTTGCGTTTCAAAAACTTCAGCACTTTTAAAATGAGTTTCTATGACACATTATAGAACAATTATAAACAATTTATAAGTTTTAAAGGCTTTTATTGGCAAATACATCAAATTTATGCAAAGAGTCAATATTTAGTGTGTTGACCCTTCTTTATACCTTCTGCAATTCATTCTGGCATGCTGGATATCAGCCTCTGAGCCAAATTTGACTGATCGTGATCCGTTCTTGTCTTGTTAGAACTCGGTGTTGATCACAATTTGTGGGCTTCTGCTTGTCCACCTGCTTTTTGAGGATTGACCAGAGCTTCTCATTGGGATTAAGATCTGGGGAGTTTCCTGGTCACTGATCCAAATTTTCAAGTCATGATCTCTGAGCCACTTCGTTGTCACTTTTGCCTTGTGACATGGCACTCCATCACGCTGGGAAAGACACCGATCACCACCAAATTGTACCAGGATCGTTGGGAGAAGTTGCTCTTGAAGGACGTTTTAATACCATTCTTTATTCATGGCAGTGTTTTTGGGCAGAGCTGTGAGCGAGCCCACTCCTTTGGATGAGACACAACCCTGTCACACATGGACGGTCTCAGGATGCTTGACTGTTGGCATCACACAGGACTCATGGTAGCGTTCACCTTTTCTCCTCCGGACGGTCGATTTTCCAGATGTTGGAAGGGGGCATCATCAGAGAAAATAACTTTGCACCAGTCTTCTGAAGTACAAGGACTGGACAGCAGTGTTTTTTTCTCTAATGAAGACCCCTTCTGACTGTTTGGCACATGCTAGAAAAACTTTCTTCTTTCTAAGTTCATTCTTAGAGAAATGGAGCTGGATTTGAATGTGCCTGAGCAGCTCATTCTCAGTCTATGGCTTCAGCATGTGTGTTTGTTTATCCTGGGGCGCCCCGCCTCTCACCAACCCAGACGCTCGTTAAGCCTCCTGAGCTGCCGTGCAGTCACGTCCAAAGTAATTAGCACGCTGACATTAATGAAGAATTCCATGTCGATGTCATTCAGCTCCCAGAGGTGAGCTCTGGCATGCTACCTGCTCACAGAACTAGAGATGTGCATGCTAATGGATGGAGTTTTCCATCCCATTCTTGCCTGCTGTCAACTTGGGGGCCCTAGGGCTTACAGCAAGGGGACAAACAAGCCACCACTGGCTTTTGGCTTAAACTATTTCAAGTAAAGCTTAGGAGTCCATTTTCTTGCGGATGCAGCCTTCACATGCAGAGTATTTGTTCCAGTTATGTGAGTCTCCATAATTTGCCTCAACACTCATCTCTTTCTTAGACAAATTAAATGAATTCAGTAAATCCGTCAATGTCCTGATTAAATTATTCAGTACAAATTGCACTGCATTACTGCTGAAGGGAAGACCATGGAAGTTATATAAATCCAAGAACATGTGATGAATTTCAGATCAGTTTCAGCCAACAGTGAAACTTTCTTTCATCTTGTGAGTGGATGCCAATCTGGGCAGTGGAGTGCTTGTTGATGTATGGTAGCTTCAAGATAGACTTTGGGATAGAAGCAGGGCCTGGTTGTGAGAACCTGGCCCTCCACCTTACTCTATGTCAGCATCACAGCTGCTGTGACTACATCCCACAGGATGAGGCTCCCTCTGCACACCACAGCGTCATGGCTGAGAAACTAAACTTCTGACTCAAGTTCATAAGTTCAAACTCTGCTAGCCTAACTTCATCTACTTAGTAAGCAGAAACTCAGAAATGCTTTGTATAGAAGTAGCTGCTAAACATAATATTTAGTTTAAAGTTATATGCATTCCATATAGCAGTGGTAGACAGGCAGTATGATGCTAATGGTTAAGGAAGCCAGCAATCCACGCAAAAGGCTAAAATTACTGTAATGGCTTATCTGCACAACATCCCACATCTCTCTCTCTCTCACACACACACTAATACACACACACACACACACGTTTCAAGACCTATGACACTTATGTTCAGCCAAAACCATGGATAGTAGTGACCACATATATATGTACACAAAAAACAAGTTATACCTATGAGAAATTTTAATTTATAAATAACACAACGAGACATCAACATCAATAACTAATGAAATAAAATGATTATTACAATATACTGTGATAAAAGTTATGTGAAGAGGGCATCTCTCGCTCTTGAATCCTGGCTTTGAATTACTGCCAGCGTCACTGTTGCATTTTGGTGGACATTATTAATGAATGTTTAGAGAGTTAAACAGCACAGCAATAAGGCGGCTACCAAGTACACTGACATGGACAGAGGCTAAGTGGCTAGCAGGGAAGCGGAACAGCATGTGTGGGGTGACACAAAGACATGATTCACATATGAAGCGCGACGGAATGGAAGGGCTACTCCGAGTAGTGCGGATTTAAAAACTTACGAACCATTTCTTTTGGGAATTTTCCATTTCCCATTGAATATTTTCAGTGTAAAATGTTCAGGCCACTGCAAACCCTGGATAACTGAAAACGTGGTTACCGAACAAGCGGATATGGGGGTTCCACTGACTATACAAATCTAAAATAAATAAATGAATAAAATAATATATACACAAATACACACACACACACACACACACACACACACACACACACACACGTAGGGTAAACATATCCTTATGGGGACCGCTCATTCATTTCAATGGGAAAAAAGCTAACGCTAACTATGACAACCTTAACCGCTACCCTGTCCTAACCATAACCATAAGTAACCTAACAAAATACAAGAGTTTTTGCATTTTTAGTTTTTTCATAGCAGTCACCGATTTTTATAAAATAGAGTTTTCCCTTATGGGGACCAGAAAACCGGTCCCCATAAGGGAAAAAAAACGGATATTTATCACATTATGGGGACATTGTGTCCCC